CGCTTCCATGTAGCGGCAGAGAAAGATTGCCCAGTCCCACTTCTGCTAGGATCGGACTTCATCCGAGCACTAAACGAAGATGGACTCCTAGTCTCGTTTGATCTCCACCATAAAACGATACGGATAGGACCAGAAACGATATAGATATGGTCTCGATCAATTACATCACGTTAGCAATAATACCATCATATGATGTACGACTTACGAATGAAGTATCGTTACCCAAACGCACCACCAATATGGTGGAAGCGCGCATCGAAGGATTCACCTGGCCAAGGTGCAGAGATTTTCTCATTGAGGATAACTAAAGGCCAATAAACGGTATCTTCATTGTTGGTCGAGCTCTGGTTACTCCAAATATTGATGGATCCTGTTATATCAACATTCTTAACCCATCCATGTCTCATGTTATACTCCATGAGAAGCTTAAGATAGCAGTGGCTCATCCGGCATGCGCATCAAAAATATGGGTGCAGCAACTACAAGTTCCACCGAGCAGCCCGCCCAAGGACCTTCCTCACCCTTCAGTTACATATATCAAAGATCTCCCAACGGATGTACATGATGATAACGACTTTCGCAGACAATCGCTGGGGCAGGCGGTCAGCAAACTCGCGCTTTTCTGCAAGCGGTCAGCAGAATTTTGGGGCGTGGCCAAACCTTCAGCGAGCGGTACTTCCTTTGCTGTCGCATGTTCTGCCAGCAAGCAGCAACACAGAATTTTCTGCAGGCGCTCGTCAAATAATCTCTTTCAGCGGGCGCTAGTCAAATTTTCAGCTGGCGCTCGGACGGTTTTCAAGCAGTTTCGGGCGTACGCCGAGCAAAGGTGAGACTCTACATGACAGAGGTGTCATCGATGGTTTAATTACTCAAGTTTGAGGTACTTTCTCTAAGCGGAAAGTACCTGGGGACTGCGCGGTCCTCCACAAAGGACCGTGCGGACCCCGAAAATTTCGCATATTCTCGCGAAAAGTTCGCGAGAATGCGGCCACTGCGCCGCAATTAATCTATAAGGAAATCGCGATTGTTCTCCAAGCATTCATCTAAATTTCGCTAAAATTCTTCCAAATGTCTGCAAGCGGACCGCAAGAAATCAGCGAACTATTTTTCCGGTGCCCGCCCGCCCATAAATCGCATGGCCGCCTGCCCCCGGCGATTATCTGAGTTCGAGTTTCGCCGGAGGTAGACTGGGAACACGTTTGCCTAGATTTCCATTTTTACCATCTCAGGAATACGACATCGCCAATGAAATCGACCTATCACAATCCAGCTTGACGGAGAGCCAAAAGAACCAGTTACGAAACATTAAAGGCAGCGTCCAAGCAGATCTGGACCTATGGGGCTTTTACGTGGAAAGCACTTTTGGGGCCATAATTAAGGCACTGCCCAAGCGGCAGCTCAGGAAGTGCTATAATGGCTGGGATATTCCCCTCGCAACTGGCCCCCGCGAACGTATTCGCATGGATTCATGGCAGTTTCGCGCCAGGATCCACGCTTTGCGCCATGAATCCATGCGAAACACGGTCGCGGGGTCCAGTTTCGAGGGGAATATCTCAGCCACTACAGCACTTCCTTAGCTGCCGCTTGGGCAGTGCCTTAGTTAGGGCCCCAAAAGTACTTTCCACGTAAAAGCCCCATAGGTCCAGATCTACCTGGACGCTGCCTTTAATAGATATCACGCCAGTGCTTTCATGGGACCAGACGGACACCTCGGACACTATAGAGGGAATATACGACATCGGATTGATCTTATTGAAAATGCAACGATACCAGTGAGGAAGATTTATAGGGAAGCCGATGGAGAAGCGAGTGGAAATCGAGAAACAAATAACTCACATGCTGAAGGATGGAATCATCAGGGAATCAACATCTCCATTTTGCGCCCCTATTGTATTGGTGAAGAAACGTGAAGCGAATGCTGGGCGCTTCACGATCGACTTCTGTGGGCTTAACGCTATTACAAAACCACAGCAATCGATCCTCCCAAATATTCAAGACATCATCGACCTCTGCGCTCAGTGCCTTTACTCATCCCTTGATTTCCAACAAGGCTTTCATTAGATCCCGTTGGAAGAGGAACATTGCGAAAGAACAGCATTCGCTTGTTTTCTTGGAGCTTTCGAGTACATTCGGATGCCTATGGAATCAAAAGGAGCTCCTGCTACTTTCCAAAGGATAATGGATGACTTCAGGAAGTATTTGAGAGCGAGAGTTTTCATATACATTGATGAACTCATTATCACTTCAGCACTGATAAACTGTTATGCTGATACTGTGTTCGTCTATAGGTCAGACAGCACGTTAACTCCAACAAATTTGAGGCGCTTATTCGAAGTTGACATCAGGGTTAAGCGTGTTGATGCGATCCGGGACCCTCAATTACGACTCCCCCCCCCTGAAGGTACCCATCATCCGTACGACCCCCGCCCTGTCTACCCCCCTTACCTCCCCTGCCCACATTCCTCGCGGTAACCTGCATAAACGAATGTCAATCTCAAAAAACACCTGCATGAGAACTTCAGAGAGGTTTCGGAAGCAGAATTTCTAGGCCAATGGGTGCGCCCAGCATCTGTAGCACACATATACACCTTCAATAATGTTTGATATTCTGCAAGTATTTTTTTGAATTTTCAGGCATACTTCAGGCCAGCAAATTCGGTTCCCGTATGCGACACAAATTTTGCATTGAGAAAAAAAATGACATTCTTGAACTACAAAAGATGTTTTCGACTAAGAAGCTTACTTTCTACCTCTTGCACAGTTTTTTCCGCGAAAAAAAAAACCACTTTAGCACCATCCAGAACGATGTCAAAAACGTGCATGAGCACGGTAGTTTGAAAATTCGTAACTAAAGCCACGAAAAGACTAAGAGGCTGCAAAGAACAGGTTTGTAGCATAGTGCCCAGACTATTCATAGAAAAAGTTTCAGCCCTTGAGGAGCAGTAGGCTCGAAAAAATTCAGATGCGACTCTCACAAATTTAGATGCGATCCTGAAAATCAAAAACTGGGATTTTTAAGCTTGAAAATTTGTAACTCATCGGAGAAGTAATGAAACGGCCTGAAATTTTTAGGATAGAAAGTAGGGGGATGGCCTCGTATTACAGCAAAATACAGCCAACAACTTCAATAGCCCCGGAAAAATCTAGATGCGACCCAGATACGACCCCCCTTTTGTCATATTTTGCCACCCTACATAAAATCATAAGAAAACCCGAAGGCTATAAAGTAGGACCAAATTTTGCACAAATGTAGTAGAGCACCTCTAAAGTACATATAAATTGTAATGATCGTATGAAAAGCATTACCACAGATTTACAAATTATTGATGATTAGCGTTGATAGAGATATGCTCTTTTTTCGAGTGTGTGAGTCTTCAGTGAGCATTCGGAAGCAGGACTTCTACACCATTCGGTACATCCAACATCTTTATCACAAATCCATGCCTTTAGTAGCATTTGAGCTTCTAAAAGTGTTTATTTTTTAAGTTTTAGTCATACCAGCAGGGTTCGATCCCCGTTTGCGACAATATCTTGCGGGAGAAATAGTGTTCCCCATAGAAAAAAAATGAACTAAGTCATAATCTTTCAAAAGTGCAGCGAATGAAGCGAATTTCTACGTTTGCAAATGTTTTCAAATTATTGTTTACTCGTTTTGACTTGATACATTGGTACACGGCATTCCAATAATTTATTGTTAAAGGCAGTAGGTCGGCAGAATGAGACCCGTGAAAACAAGGTCACAGGGTAGGAGCCCCATAATGACCTATGGGCCAAAGTTCGATCTTTCTCTGCCACTTCTAACCCCCGAAATTTCAAAGCGAAAGCAGCGCTCATCTCCTGTCCTCTCCGAACCCGCCCACTCCATGGACAAGCGCTTCCGCGGCCAGAGCGCCAGCCGCAATGCTATAAGCATGAGGTCGCGCAACGACTCTGCGTCTTCGCCATGACGGGCTTCGCGTTCACTCGTCCATGAGGTGGGCGGGTTCGGAGAGGACAGGAGATGAGCGCTGCTTTCGCTTTGAAATTTCGGGGGTTAGAAGCGGCAGAGAAAGATCGAACTTTGGCCCATAGGTTTCACTATGGGGCTTCTACCCTGTGACCTTGTTTTCACGGGTCTCATTCTGCCGACCTACTGCCTTTAACAATAAATTATTGGAATGCCGTGTACCAATGTATCAAGTCAAAACGAGTAAACAATAATTTGAAAACATTTGCAAACGTAGAAATTCGCTTCATTCGCTGCACTTTTGAAAGATTATGCCTTAGTTCATTTTTTTTCTATGGGGAACACTATTTCTCCCGCAAAATATTGTCGCAAACGGGGATCGAACCCTGCTGATATGACTAAAACTTAAAAAATAAACACTTTTATTTCCTTCCGCTTTCGGTTTTTTATCCAAATACCTCCTTTTACGACCCCCCACTCACCGTTACCCCGCCTACGACCCCCCGTTACGACAGTCGCATCACACGCTTGACCCTGGTTGACATGTTGAAATGATCGAAAGACAACCGCGTTGATGGTTTATATGAAAACAATTTTGGGGGTTGTACCACACATCCTTTTCGATGTGCCAGTGCAACTCGTTATCCTTGGGTGTAGGGCGATTCGCGCGACCGTTATGCTTTCCGCACGACCACCACCGCGCGCGACGCATCCTGCGGCGGCTTCCCTAAGCAAAGCAAGGGTAGGGAAGGTTTGCGGCGTGCGTGACGTGTTCAGACAAGTCAAAATCAGGGTGGCGCTCGAGAGCCCGTACGAAAAGACCGCTCCCCGTTATCCTTCCCTTGTGAGACTAGAAACTCGAAAACGCTTTGCACACACTGTTTAAACAAGCTTAAACATGTCCTTACTCGGTTCCAAGTATAAATGAGCCTAGATGACTTAGGACATTGTGACATTGACATACATAAGACATTGCTGAACCCACGATCAAGCTTGTTTTGACCTTTCCCATAGCACAGCGTGGTTGTCTGCAAGATTACGCGCTCTGGTTAGAGCTATGTTCACGATTGGGTCACACTATTCTCCCCTCCACTGAAATGAGCGCATTGGGTGTGCCTGCGAGATCCGGTACGCGGCAAACGTTGAGGGATACGTTAGCCGTGGAGCGCGCCAGCGCAATCATTGGCCGTAGCTGGCAAGACAGCTAAAGTTGGCCCCGGTTTTCACATGTTTTTATTCTCTAACATCGTTTTGATGTTTCTTGGTCGGTAAAATCTCATTTTCGTCATTTCCAAGCCAAATTTGTGCGTGATAACTTTTGATTTTCATTTATGGAAGGCAAGTGCTTCGAAGATCTTTCATCTTTTTTGCTCAATCTAGTGAGAACAGAACTTTGAAGAATGTGGACTTCATATTTCCCATGACTAGCTTCAAAAAAAAGATGTCGGGTTTGCATTTTCGACGCGTGCAACAGATGGTTGCAACGTTTATCATTTTCAACAGTTCCGCTGACTTGAAAAATCTACTTATCTTGAATTTTGTGAGCATGTGCGCTCTCTTTCAAACTGCTTTTTCTGTTGAACTTCAGGTACAGCTTCAATTGGTATGCGGAAGTAGATACCATAGGAATGTTGCCTTAAATACTTTCGCGTTTGCTTCCTAATACTAATGCTGAAATTTTGCAGTTGATGATTGATGCAGAATTAAGTATCGTTCGGACGTATGCAGGAAGTGTTGTTAGAAGTTAGAAGATTTTGCTTATTCATATTTTGACGCTGGTAACGCACAAACAAAAGTTTGTGCCAGTGACTTGACGGCCTGAAATGAATCCTCAAGATCAATTCCCCTCATATACACGATTAATCGTGATAGTGTTTTTGTATTGGCCGCATAAGGCAAGTAGGTTTCACGAAATTTTGGAAAGAGTGAAGCCTTCATTTAACCTATCGCCACTGATAGTTCCGCTGACGAAATGAGTGTGACACTGTATCGGTTCTGAAGTATTTTGTCTGTTTGTGTTCTGTTTCTGTGGTATAGAAACCACGCTTGACGCTCTTTCCTTGCGAGAAATATTTTGTTGAACCTTTATCTTGAAAAAGTTGAATTCAATGTCGATTTGAGTGAAGTCTAGTCTGTTCAAACGAAACCAACTCATTTGGGGATTGTCTGCCATTTGAAGAAATCTAAATATCTGCATTGACTTTTCGCATAAATTGCTAGTGTTTTGTTGAACATAATAACCCTTAGTCCGTTCATCCTTGAGTGTAAAACTGCTAAACTTTCGAAACTTTACAGAAACGCATAGGAATTCTATTTTTAGTGCCAGTGTCGGAATATTCTCCTAACTATGAATTTGCAAGCCGTATCTATCCCTTTGTGGGCAGCCATCATGTGCTCTGCTGAATTCTGAGCAAAATTGGGTGCTACTTTTTTATTTGAAGAGTCTTCTACTAATACTAGTGGTGATCAGTTTTATACAGCCGATAGCCAGCCAGCTCATTACATGGAAATGTTAACGGCAAGATATTCTATTATGTTATTACATTAGGATACCATACAAATAACAAGCAAGGAACAACTACAGAACGCAAACAACAACAGCAAAAGCAACGTAAGTACATTGAGAGAGTCACTCGATTGCATCTGGCTTCTCAACATTTTTCCAAAGAAAGACAACTTTGGAACAAATGCTCGTTTTTGTTTTTTCCCTCCGGATCAGGCCAAAATCTACATGGGGGAAATCCCTTCGAAGTACACCTAAAAAATCCCCCCCCCCCCTCCCCGGCCAACTTTAGCTGTCTTGCCAACTACGGCCATTGATTGCGCTGGCGCGCTCCACGGCTAACGTATCCCTGAACGTTGACGAATTCGAAACGCACAAGCGTACCCTGATCGGCGACGCGGAAGCGACGCGCAGTTTTCTCCGCCGAGCGCGACAGCGAGCACGAACTTTATTTTTTTACGTTTTTTGAAGTTTCAGACGCCGATCTTTGTACGCTGGTCTGTTTCGAAGTCGAACCGACTTTCAAGCGCACGATTGTTGGTGCATGTATGAAAGGCAGAACTGCAACGCTTGTTGTTTTGTGACTTTTTTGCATGCACTATTTGCGTTTAGCTTGCCGGTGGTGTTCCACAATAAAGTGGAATATCAGTAGAGTCAAGTAGATGTATGACAAGGGTGGAAAGAACAGTGAAACCGCTTAGGGAGTTATACGTGCTGAGTGTTCATCGATAAAGTATCCTTTTCAGCCTTAACTTATAGACTCAGTTGTTAACATTACCAACAAGCGAAAAGGAAATCTGTCCATAGCGTTTTTGATGAAGTTACGGCTTCTTTGCAAACTTATTGCCAATTCTGGTCTCACCTGTTTGTAAGTGTAGAGAGCAGAAAAGTTCGAATTGGTCTCTGGGTGTAGTTTTCACCAAAAGAACTCGTTAGAAACCAATTGTGGTCCTACACTACTACAAATATAGTTTGTGCAAAATATGTATACACGATTCATGACACGCAAAGACTGGGCGCCATTGCGTCCGACCAAGATAGCTCGTGCATGGGAGAGACAGTGGTAAGTAAACAAAGAGCGCTCGATTAGAGAGATGGCGACGTCCGCAGTCTTTGCGTGCTAAGAATCGTCTATACTTTGAGGCTGAATCTACAGTAAGAATCTTTATGACGAAGTCAGATCAGCTACTGAGGTGTGAAGTTCCTGAAATGTCGCTCATAATTCATGAAAAAAGAACCGCGGCGGCTGTGCTTGGACGGCCTCCACTGAAGTCCGCCGAAATTTCGCATCAGGTCTTTGTTCAGAGGGGACTTTCTGAAGGTTACCATTCAGCTACTTCGCATGGCACACGTCTTTGTATATATAAGACTGCTTTAGCTTGGGGTACAGTGGGTAACGTGGAAGATAGTTTTCAAATTTATTTTCCAGTTTTTGCTTACATAGGCTGCTCACTTTGACGATTACAAATTATTTGATGCTAGAGGACACTGCGAGCCGTAGAGGTGGATTTGCAAAGAAACAAACCACCGTAAATATTTCGCCTTTTTCTTTTCAGCAATTATGTTCTCGATTTGGTTGCTCCTCGAAATCACTCCCCGAGGCGCAACCCGACGTTTTCATCATGTACAACTTTGACTATTTCTCATTCCTATTAGGATCCCAAACGTAACTTGACCGGCGGATTTAGCAAGCACTTCGCAATCCAGTGTCTTTTTTCAGTCTGCGCGGCCTTTTGAAATTAATAAAGGTTTGTCGTGACCAAAACCGTTATTGGGAGTTTTTGAGCCTCAGATGTAAGATGCTACTCCACTGCGCAATATTTCGGAGAAATGTCAGACTGTAAAGAAAGCTTCTTGGATTCGCTGACGAAATCGCAAAACTATCTATGTGCGTATGGCTGTACCCGAAAATTTTAGACACCAGCATTACAAAGCGTGATTGCTCCACTTTGTGACAATAGTGCTTGTTGCTGGTCGAGTTCGGAAAGCCTTGTCAAAAGCGAATTTGAAACACACAAGCGTACAAAGATCGGCGTCTAAAACTCCAAAAAACGTTAGAAAAACGAAGTTTGTGCTCGCTGTCGCGCTCGGCGGAGAAAACTGCGCTTCGCGCCGCGTTGCCGATCAGGGTACGCTTGTGCGTTTCGAATTCGTCCTGAACGTTTGCCGCGTACCGGATCTCTGTGCCTGCATCAATTTCATAGGTAGTATAGGAAAGGGCTGCTCGCGTCACATTTTTGTGGCACATACCATGGCGCGATATTGTGCACTTGATCCATCAGTCACTGTAGAAAGAGAGGTAGGCTTTGCAGAACTTGACTTTAATACAATTTCTCACAAAATGAGAGATTGTCACTTTCTTTTTCGATCTTCTTTAGTTTTGCATAAGACGTAATGGCTCGTGGATGGAATGCCCTCTCATTGAGTCAACTTCACTGGAAGCTGTCCGTGATGAGATAATCAAAGCAAAAGTAGGGCCCAGCACTTTTGCAATAGGAAGAACGTTTTTCATACTTTCCAATCATTGAGCTAAATTTTAGAGGCAAATCAGCGAAATATGCAGGGAAGATGATGGTTTACGGAAGTGGAGATTGCACACTAAAAATACGCATCCATTGTCCACAGCTCCTAAGCTGCTGCGGTATGTCGCCTCAATGAGTATTAGTCCAACAGCTATAATATTACAGCATTCAGAGATAAGTATAATTGCCAAGGAACTAGTCAGGCCTACTGCAAATTCTTGGAAATCCTTCGCCGATATCCCCTGTTTCGCTCTAGCGAGATGCGGCTTCGGTGAATGCTCTTACTCATGTCATACAAATTTTTCTAAAATACGCATTTTCGATCTACAGCTCTTTTCACCTATGCGAAGCTCCTGGCCACTTCATTTCTTCGCTGGACCGCTTTCTTTGCACGTTCTATCCTAAGGTAGACTGGGATTGGGAGGCTAATTCGTGAGTTTTTGTTGTTATTTAACTACCTATACCTTTTACCAATGCTACGTCCTTCACTGTAAACGGCGAAAACTTCGAAATCGTAAAATGCAGCATTAGTTCATTTAGGAGGTTAGGTAATTCTTTTTCAAAATGGTTCTTCTTTTGGGATTGAATATCTTTGCACGAGGGCCTAGCCTACATACCCTTCTAACTTGAAAGCATTCAGTACAATTCGAAGAAATTTGCGGTTTATGAACAAGACTTTTTATTCGACTTGTGTGAAGCCGAGCGGCGTTTGTTCAGCTTCAATCCACATCATGAGGGTACCAGTGCATGCGATATGTTGCTCGAAGATGATCTGATTGTTAGGCATCCAGATCATTGGCACTTTGGCCAGGATGGGAGCGGCGACGTCAGAAAGGTATCTTGCTAACGAAACAAATCATTGATGGCGATGTAGTTGTTGTTTTTTTTTCAGTGGGATTCAGGATATGTGAGTTCCTTAACACGTAGTGGTCGCTATGATCTTGTTACTGCAGATGGGAGTTTATACACACAGGTACTGTTCATTGATTTCTGATAGCTTTGGAGGTACGACGAACTCATAGGATAATCCAGAAGAGCAGGAATCCATGACTTTACCTCTTCTGCAAGCTGAATTAACAGCAGCAATAGGACTTCTCGCTCACTTTGGCTCGCTGGTTGTAAAAGTTGGATATTTCTCATTTTCTTATTTCTCACCGTTAATCCGTCGGGACTGAGGTTTGCAGATCTACACAATGTATTCACAAGACACTCGATTACTCATACAAAAGACTGCGTCATTTTTCAATGATGTCTATGTATTCAAACCCATGAGCAGCAAAGGGGGAAATAGCGAGGTGAGGATGCTTACGTATTCTTCTTTAGCATTTCGATATTCTTATGTTGCAGAGGTACCTGGTCTGCTTACGGTTTAGTGGCGCTGCACCTTTAAAGAGTGATGGAAGAAACACCGAAAATGTATGTTTTCTTCTCTGTTGAATATATGTATCCTCTCACTTATTTTGATTACCAAGTTTCTAGTTTAGACACTAATCAACTGTGAGATATTCTTTTCAAAACTGCAGTGCTCGTCTATCGAAGCAAATCTAGCGACATACTGTGCAATTTCGAAGGTTTCATCAGCTATGTGTTCTTTTTTCTGGAGTTTGATGATCGTTATTCCAGGAAGAGTTGAATATATATCACGATCGTATTCTTAGTGAGTTCCAAAAACGAATTCTTGCAAAATATATTGCGCATCCTTCAAGGTAGTCTGTTAGCCATGTAATCTCACTGTTGAGTCAATACAAACTTTCAGAGAATCACGCCTTAACCAGGAGAAAGTCGATCGACCTTGGATTGATATGTTTGGGAAAAACTACGTGGAAATTCTGAAGCATGTGTCTGATGAGCGGAGTGCCTTAGAGCAACTCAGAATCTTTGTGAGTGAAATTCTTCCAGCGCAGGAGACAGTTTGTAGTTTAATTGTAATTTGAAGGATCAAGAAGATGTCATGAGAGAAGAAGAAGAAGAACTCACGAACATCATAGAAATTGAATTTTCTGCAGAAGAGCTGGATTTTTTTGAGTGGGATGAACGTCGCCTTATCAAAGAAAAGGTGGGGTTAAGTTCTTTTTTTTACCAAATCTCACTTCACATAGTCAGCTATCATGTATCTTTTTTTTGACGTGGGTTTCTGTCATGTTCGTTTTCCAGGTGGTTGTGGTCAGCTCACCATTGAACGGAATTTTACATTCTTTATTCACTCCCCCTATCCTTTTCCGTTGTCTTCATTATTGGAAGCCTAATGTGTGTTTGAATTCCTCTTGTCTCTTCAGTCGCTTAATTATTCTGCTATTCTAGGCAGTCATAGACCTATGTGCCTCCTTTACTTCTCAGTCCAGGGAACCAAACCACTATGCTGGTTCACTAGTAATGCATGGAGATTTACTGTTAGATGCATCCAAGTTGCGGTGCTTCGCTAACTGGTCTTTTCTACTGAAAAGTGTTCTTGCTGGAGTTCGTGTAAGTACATGCCTACTAGTAGAATTAATCAATTTGCTGATTCTCTTTTCCAGAACGAAGAAATAAAGCGATTGGAAATAAGTTGGTCTGAGTTGTCAGTACCATTCATACTATCGCGACTGTCTGCATCAGTGATTTGTCTGTTATGCGTTATGTTCTTTCAAATTCACATAGGGGATAAAAGTGGATCAATCGTCTTTGAAAAGCCGGTAGCTCGTTTTACTAATTTGTTCAAGTGGATACGATACTGATTTCATTCAAATCATTTAGAACTACTCTGAAGATATTCCTGATAGTTTAGAATCCTATCTCTCGCTACTGGATAATCTGAACAGCAGCACAGGTTGGTTCTTTAAACATCACTTGTTTTCATTATTTCATATATGACTGTTATCATGAAGGAGAAATATGCTGTTTTGTTCCACTCTCCATGCTGGCAATGTTTCATCCCTCCTTTTTCAATTTCAATCGACAGCAGTGGAGAAAATTGCTCGACAGCTTGAAGCTAGACAAACGTTGGACTGCCTAGTTTGATTGATATTCATTCCACAGTAAGAGATCTCAAAGTGTGTTCATTATTTTCTAAAGACATGCCTGTACATGGATTGCCTTTGTGTGTTTTTTTTTTGCTCACTGGAAATATATGATCTCGTTTGTGCTGCTCTGTTGGACATCCTTATCAGTTTTTCCCGAGTTTTAACTGTATGGAATGAATACAATCATAATTCCTCATTTCCCATGAAAGCCGTTGGTTAGCCTTTCTTCTTTCTAGTCTCGTCAAAATGTCGGACGATGCGCTAAGCATCGAGAGAGCCACTTTGTGTGTTTTGTAGAAATGTCTAGAATCCAAGTTTGGGTGGCACAGTTGCGGAAGTTCTCATTCAAATGAGTCGGAAGAGGGACGCAAAAGGGACGATGAGTTTCTAGGCAACAAAGAAGTCTTTTACTTTGAATTATCACAAGTTTTTCTGACATGTGTGTTCATCGGGACAGTATACTAGCCATTAAATCTACTGCGACTATACAGTTTGTAAAAAGGCCCAACCATTTGAATGGGAACGGTGCCTTCTCCTCGCTAGAGCTTTGCGTCACATTGGATTTTCAGGCTAGCATTGTATGCCGGATATGGAGGAGAGTGGGGTGTGTATTCCATTACTTGTGACTGTCAATTACGCAGGCGCCGCGCGCGACAGCCTGGCAGTAATCAGTGGCGAGGGAATAGTGATAGTGAATGGTTTCATGGAAATTGCCACTTATCTGATGACAGAATATGTACTTTTTGTTGGTACTTTTTGTTCACAATACTAACCAGACCCCTAAGCATTTCCTCTGAGTCATTTTCTCTAGCCCTGCTGCCTCTCGCCCGGGTTACTGTAATGCCGCGTCGCGGCAATTTGTAATTGACACTCACAAGTAATGGGCACCACCCAGAGAATAGGGTGCACAGATATTAGATATTTAGGTTTCTATAATGGTATTATGCAGCTGAGAGCCTAACGGTCAGCTCTGAAGCTGAATATTGAACTGATTATAACAAATTTGCAAGTATTTTATTACAAGCTATGTATCTATATGCATATTTCTACGATGGCATAGCTTCACACGATCGATATATCTTATAGACCGTAATTTTTTCTGATTCTGCTTCAGATTTTAGCCCAGAGCATGTCGACTAGCGAAGGCGTCAAACCGCTGTACAAGGATGTCTCAATAGTATGTATCTACATACTGTTCAATCGTTAATACCTCTCTTCCCAAAAAGTCCTTTGCCTACCAACAGATACCATACTATAGAGCTGGATTCAACTAACAAGAAAAGCTACATGACTTAGCTCGGCCTTTTGGCAAGGGACATATATATTTCAGCTTGAAACGGTGATTCCAGATATGCTACTCCTAGCTGCGGCGCACCATTCCAAAGCGAGTTGTAGGTTTTTTTCTGTACAAAATCTGCATACTCATCGACTCACTGGCATCACGGCATCAATCCAAGTGCTAATACACTTGCGTTAAGCTTCTTCTTAGTGAGAAAAGATTGGATTTGTGTTTCGATATCTCAGCGCCTTTTTCTTGCAGAATTTTACTTACAGGCAGTGTTCCCACGTTCAGTAGTGTGCCAATTTTGCGCAGGAAAAAGCCATAACTCGCTTCGGATTGGTGCGCGGCGCTAGAAAGCTGATTCAGAATATCTATGTCCCTTGTCAAAAGGCCGAGCTAAGTTAGGTAGCTTTCCTCTTCAGATTTACAGGTGAGTGCGAGGGGGACTTTGAAGAGGACTTTAAGTTATGGAGGACCATATTTGGTCTTAGAAAGACAAGAAAACGACCTGAAAATTTTTACACTAGGCTAATTGGGGTTGCTGAATTTAACTACGAAGTTTGCATCTTATAATAAAGCTCCTCGTTGAAATGCTATGCTAAGTAAGCAGTAGTAGCCGTACTTTCAATGTTTCTCAAAGAATTGGTTACATAAAATCTTCACAGTCTTGTAAGAAATTGAATAAAAGCTCAGCGTCCCTGAAAACCCTGCCTTGCAGGTTTTCAGGTTTTTTTCGAGAACACCATATGCCGGAAGTTCCTACCGTAACCCTACGGTGAGCAGCGATCGGTGATTTGCTCCCTACTGCAAATCTGAGCTGAATTCAGCTCTGCAAGAGCTCTAAAAATTTCACGAAGCCTCAAATTGGTAGTCATACAGTAGATACACAGTAACATTCAGAAATGCTTTTGATAAACTTCAACCATTGAAAGACATCAAGTTTGATATACAAATTCCAAAAAAGTGACATTCTTGCATTTTGCAATATTATTTCTCAATTGGGGCCTCGGGTGATTCCAGAAAATGCATCTATGAATACTACTATGTATCTACTGTATGATGACCAAGCTGGAAGTGTAGAATTTTCAGAAAGGAGGTCTGAATCTCATGTCAGTTGGAAATTTTTGGTTCTTGGCTCCAAATTCTTGCTGTTACGACCTAGGTGATCTTCAATGCTCATTTTGCAGAGCTTGCTTTAGCCATCGAATTGTACTCTAAGTGTGCTACCAACACAAAAACAACCTGGTTAAATTAGGAAAAGGCTTCAGTTTTCAACTCAATACTTCTCAAACACTGGGTACACGCTTTTGGGAAGCCAAAGACGGATGATTGAAAGTAATTTCATTAACGTTAACTAAAAATCGAACCCACAATCTTAGCTTGTAGGTTCGCTCCACACACGTTTCCCAAACAAAAGCGAATTCTCTTTACAAAGCTACAAAAGATATGATAAGATGCGTTGATAGAATTCTGAAGCACTGATAGTCGGACTACAAAAACAGTGAGGATGCATCAGTAGTGCGTAACTCCTTTTTATTTATTTTTTTGAGAGTCTCACTCAATGTCAGGTTTGTTGCTGATGGACTCTGGTTAGACTGCTTATAGTTTTGTGAGTGTACTGAGTTTTCGAATTCATGATTCCTCTTCTTCGAGATTTCCCATATTTTCTGCAAATGAAGTCTTTTCTCCAGCTCAAGCCATATAGATTTTCTAAGTTAGCTTCTGGTGTTTTTATATAGACGCGGAAGTTAAGGAAACGATTCGAAAGAAACCATTGGAATTTTGACCAGTTCGTACCGAGTAGCTTTTTTATTATTTTGAGCAAGGATTTGCCTCCATGATGCTATGTGTCAAACATCTAAAAGTTTCATGAATGGAAACTACGATTTTCTTCTCAGCAACTAATTTGTTAAGATATTTCAAAGGTGCTTCTTTTGAGATGTTTTGGAAGTATGTTTCCCAAGGTCTCTTGCTGATTTTGTCCAGAGCGCTGTGGCCGACATTGAAGAGTTCATGATTGTTTGTAACTCTTGCCATGATTGAAACAGCCGTTGTGTTCTGCGATCGCGAAAACAATTTTTGTAAACTGATTGTTCGCATTTTGCTGCAGCGATTGAAAAAGGTATGAATTAGCATATCTAACTTGATAAACAATTCTGTTGTACATTCTACTTGTCAGTCCATGTTTTTGTGTTAACCCTAATTTCATCTTCGTCCACTCCTCTCCAAGGGCTGCCTCCTAGATTTTGAGCGAGTCAGGTATAGTTTGAATCATGATAATTGAGTTCATCTCACTTACTTTCAAGTGGAATAAATTTACTTGCACAGTTTTATGACCCAGATACACCACCTTCAGAAATGCAATCCAATCTTGCCTACTTTCCCCTCTCTGGTCCGCCACTGGTATTTCAGCATTCTAATGGCCACGGTTGATTGGATTTACGATCCGTCGGTTCTAAAAAAACACAGTAGTGGCAAGCACTTGAATTTTTTGACAATGTCGAGGGTGCTTGCACAACTGATTAAAGAATTGGAAAGTGTGAGTGATTCTCATTTTACCTTTTCCACGGCGGCATTGCGCTTTGACTCATCGAGTTATATGATTGACTTTGACTCATTGAGTTATATAATCAGTCTGCTGTGTGATAGTACAGTGATACTCTACGCAGTATTAATCACAATAAGCTTTATCTATGAAAGATAATACTCATGCACATTCACTGGCCAACAAATAAATACGTAATTTATTATCCTAGTACACTAGCAGAGATCCCGCATACTCCTTGTGATAGAATTTTAAGCATGTAAACAAGTCAACAATGTCAATCAATGTATAATATTGTGAGTAATATGAATATACACGCAAGAAGCTGAGATGCTGATATTTTTGGAGTATGCGGATTGAACCAACGATCAGCTGCGAGATGCTTGTTTATCACTAAAGGAATTCCAGTCATAACTGGAAGATGACTACAACGTAAAGTTCAAATCGCAATATCAACAGAGAAAATGATAAAGTTCGAAAATTTTAATGAGAAGTTTGTTCGAAATACGAAGGGGAGTCCGCGTAGATCATTGCCCCTCATGATTGAGAAACGAGGGTAAGTGGAGGAAATCTGGAAAGCAAACGATAGTATAATTGTTGATAAACATTTGTAAAGAAACCCCTCGAATCTAGGAACAATAAAATAACCTTACCTAATATTGCGGTGGTGATTGCCTTCGGCAAACGGTGCGCGTAACGTTGCCTTCAGCATCAACCGTCTCAAACTGTTCCTCCAATGGTAATTCACGCACCCGCTCCTCGCTCTCGGTACCGGTAAACGTTACGTGGCTCATAATTGGGTCACGCACCTGAGAATAATTCTTGTGTTTATTTTGAAAATCCACATTATAGTCCGTGTCAATCACGTGCTCCCTTTTCCTCCTATTCCTCAGGCGCAATGAGCTACGGTCGCGCGCGTATTCCTCGGGCATTCAAATTGGCCCCATCGATTGGAGGTCCGCACGCAGGGCCCTTGCGTTGCGCGTGCGTACTTCTCATGCGAAAGGTAAATAGACATCGAGTGTAGCCTTGTAAAAGCTTTTGAGGACATGCCCGCAACTTTCAGTGCTACGGGCTCAGTAATATTTTCAGGAATGATCCCAAGAATTCTTGGGGAATGCATGGATAACGCCACATTATCGCATTCCAAGAAAGAATCTTCGGCACTGCCGTCCGGCCAACCGAAATTGGTTAGATCTTGGTGCAGTACAATAGGCCTCTAAGTAGATAAGTTGCCCGAGTCCCGCTGCAAAGGGTGTATTCTAAAGCAAGAAAAACGCTCCAAAAGCGTGCTGCCGGGGCCGCCACCCCATCAACTTGGCTAAAAAGTAATGGGCCAGACACCAGACAATAATTTCTAGAAAAGCCGAAAACTCACTTTTCATCGTGGAAAAAACACTTTCGACATTTCCAGGCATACTGAAAACCATGCTCATACTTCTAGACTATGGCATTTACTTCCAGTTAGGAGGGCCTCGCTACTGTACAGCATCAACCCGCCACCTCAGACTGAGTGGGCTGTGCCTTCACTTAGGGGCCCCAGAATAATTTCCAGATGGAAGAAGGACGTTCAGTTACGCAGAGTGCTGCCTTCAATTCTTTTTTGCCTGTTAGCGTGCGTGAGACCTATTCGGGTTCAACCGGTTCATCCGGTCCACTACTTCGCTAATGGTCAAATCAATGAACTGACCAATGGCGAGTGGTGCTAACCGGGTGAAATGGTTGTTGGGTCAGTCTGGCTCCTTCCTAACTCGTGCCTGCACCTCGTCTGTACGAAGTTGAAGTTTGAACTCAGTTTAGGCGGAAATTGGACTGGCAGGAGTCCGCTTCGCAACCATCCGCGCCGCTTTGAAGTCTGCGTCTCTTCACTCTAATTTATCCCGCTGGGCCATTCGCGGTGCGGACGCGCTGCTCCATTTGGAATGTCTCGCCTTCTACGGGTTGAAAAAGACTGTATCTCCACAACCGAAAGGCATCAAAAAACTTGCAGTGCTTTTCTGTTCAAAAAATGTGAGTCTTGAGACGTTAGGCTCATATGTTAAAAGTCTTAGGAAGAACTAGGTAGCAGAACTTTTGATTTACTAGGACTGCAAACCTCAATGCTATGAGTGCCTACGTGACTTATGCGAAAACTAAAGCATGCGTCGGCGCCACCAAGCGGAGAAGCCCATATCGATCGGTAGAGTCTGAACTCACCCGTGTTTCAACTCTGCGCGAGATTGTCTGCACAGTTCCATCTGGTGCGATAGCTGTGGTTTCAAAAGTTGTTAATGTAGTCGGATAATCTCGGAGCATCGTGTCCATTTCACCACCAAGCGAATCCTTATCGTCATCGTCATGCTCTTGGTAGGTTTCCACCTAAATTGAAAGGTAAGGTCATTCAAATCCCAACATTGTTTTCATATGTGATCTGCTTCAGGAAAAGGAAACAGAAATGCGCTTACGGTGTCTCCGCTCAACATTGCACGTGTATCCTGACTGGTCATATCTTGGCTGGCGCCTTCGAGTAGAGAATCTCGCTCATGAGGTATGTTCTCTAATGAATCTCTAACGCTATCATCAAGACGAGTGATTACCTGAAACAGTTCTTTTTTGGATTTTTGACTATGAAGCATTGAATCTTCCAAGTTATTTCGATTTGTTTTTCTTTTGCATCAAATTCTGCCCGCCATTTGGTACTAATTTTACATCTTTGTTATGTCTCAAATTTTTGAGTACATCATCGCACATGGTCGTGGTTGCAGCGACGGCGACACGCGCTGGAAAGCGTGTACTAGTACAATTTCATTGTGTAGTCTGTTTTCACCGGATAGCCGAAGCATTTTATAAGCAGCTCCGCTTCTGCTTCGCGTGAAGCTTCGCTGGCGTATTGCGCTGGCACCTTGCCCAAGAACTTGATGGAGGGAGACGCGGAAGGGTTACTATCGCGAAACGATTATTGTAGTTGTGTTATGGCGCGAACTGCCGCGAGGCTGACGCGCGCCATTTCAGCTTCGGCCTGTGCATTGAAAATGTATCTGAAGGCTAGTGTCGGACGAAAAGCGCTTAGGCATGCGCCACAGTTGACTCACTTGATCCACTTCGTCCACTTCGCTAATGTTCAAATCAGTAAACTGACCAACAAAGGGATGTCTACTTCCGCTTGATTCACTTCATCCAGTTGGATCAAGTGGATCGACTATGGCGCGTGCCTCAGGAGCGCTCACGCGCTTTTGTTTTAGGTATAGAGCGCATGAGGCAAAAGTACACAATGGTTAAGATACAGGGGCTTTCAATCTGAGTGTCACGGTCGACGTGGTTCAGGTCCTCGAGAGCCGCCTCGCTTGGATCTCTCACGTGCTACAATACTGTATCCGGCTAAGGCCTTCGTGGTATCGGGTGCGGTATCGTAGCACATGAGAGATTCAAGCGAGACGGCTTGCGAGCACCTGAACCACGTTGACCGTGACACTCAGATTGAAAGCTCTTGTACGACGCGCCGTTCAGCCCTCCCCTCCCCCCCCCTCCCCTCCCCCCCCCCCCCCGCCCCCCAACTGATATCGCCTGCGCCTTCATCCGGCAAAAGCCCTCACAGGTCGTCTCTAGCACGCGCCGTACTCGCTGGTCAAATCAGTGGACTAACGAATAGCGAAGTAGATTGAGTGGATAAAATGGACCAAGCGGGTCAACTATGGCGCGTGCCTCTCATGACATTTTCCGCGCGCGTCACAATAGTGAAGTTCGTGCGGCAGCTATGGTGCAACCCCCGAGGACGGGTCCACCGCCCTTCACATTCGGCTCAGTACGCGTCGCCGGCCGCGTCGCAGTGGGAGTTTATCATTGAAGCGCGCTTTTGCTCTGACGTTGCAAATCTGCAAAAACATTTAGCATCACCATGCTAATACTCATTACCACTGCTTCACTTTGCAATCACCCAGCACGACATATCTGCTTGAAAAGGACAAGGACTTTTTGCAACCCAAATCTACAGTTTTGACCTCATACTATATACCTTGTGCTGGGGTTCAGTGGATTTTTGTTTTTCCGAGCCGTATTCTCCGGCAAACTGTATCAAACACTACGAAATTGCCGGGTTCTCCGGCTTAGACCGAATCACAACTGGCTTTCCAAAGGGGAGGAGCCCCAAACTTGTAAGTGTTCGGAAGGGTGCCAGCTGGCAGCAGTTGAATGCAATTGCAAACAAGACAAAAACACTGTTTCGGAACGTTTCGAGGAATCGTACAAAACATCAGTACATGGTCATCGAATAACAATTGCGGTAGCGTCGGCTACGACACTCCGGCCGAGGCGAATTGGAAACAGAACATTACAGTAGCGTCGGCTACGACATACCTACCAGAACTCCTTGAAGATGCCTCTGCAAAAATAATACGGTATACTGTACTGTTTAGCATGTAAGATAACCTTATTCAACCAAATTTCGGCCAGATCTGTTATTTTGACCGCGTGCACCACCGGCTCCAAATTTGCATACCACACTGACACCCCCTCTGATCAACATGAAGCCTTATCTTTTTGGTGTATAAAGTGAGTCTAATCGCAACCGCGCAGAAAAGGTTTTCGTGATCTTATCTGCAAAAAATCAAAAAATTATCTTTTCTATGCATGTTCTATTCTCCTCCATATTAGAAGTAGATAATCAAAGATAAAGACAATTTTTTGCCTGATTGGACTCATGATTATCTACTGCATAGTCTCTACCCCAGGCTTGAGGTCTTAATGTTTGATCCATAGTTGTGATAAAGTAGATTGACTTTTCTTTCATTATCTGACACAAAATCATACGAGGCAAACTTTACAATTGGCCACCTACTTCGTCAAATGAAGTCAGAACGAACTTTACGCACAAAAAAAACGTTTGATAAACACTTTTTACTGTTGGATATACTTAGAACAGTTACGGCAAAATTCCTTCATGCTTACTGAAACGAGTATACAGGTGCATGCGTCGCCTGTGAGTCGCAACGCGTACTGAGCCGAATATTAAGGGCGGCGGGCCGGTCCTCTGCAAATCCCAGAATTGTTCCCATAGTTACCATTAAAGGCAGCGTCCAGGCAGATCTGGACCTATGGGGATTTTACGTGGAAAGTACTTTTGGGGCCCTAACTAAGCCACTGCCCAACCGGCAGCTCAGGTAGTGCCCTAACGCCTGAGATATTCCCCTCGAAACTGGACCCCGCGACCGTGTTTCGCATGGATTCATGGCGCAAAGCGTGGATCCTGGCGCGAAACTGCCATGAATCCATGCGGGGGCCAGTTTCGAGGGGAATATCTCAGCCATTAGAGCACTACCTGAGCTGCCGCTTGGGCAGTGCCTTAGTTAGGGCCCCAAAAGTACTTTCCACGTAAAAGCCCCATAGGTCCAGATCTGCCTGGACGCTGCCTTGCTTCCTTTCAATCGTTTCAACACGTTAACCAGCAAATATAAGGCCTTTTCGAAACTGACATGTTGAAAGATCGGAAGGCAGCCACGTTGATGGTAACCTTTGATTCAGTTGGCTTGGCAGCTGGAAAGCGGAGCTTTGTGACCTAATTAAGGCCGCTCGCGCCTGCGACGCAATCTGCATCTCCCCGCGCGTGCTCTCTGATCACTACTCAGACAATTGCATTGGGAAGTTCGCGGGTGCTTGCTCGGCCACCAATCATCCATGCCGCGAGCTGCCCGGTATAAACCGATATTGGACCCGGTAAGTGACCGCGGCGCATCCTGTAAGCGCCCGATAGTTGACCCGATTAGCATGCTTGTGAGGCCTAGGAAGAGTGAAAAAAATGTTGGCCTGTCTTTCATGACAACTGAGTACAAATTGAGCAACTTGTTAGCTCATCTGTCGACATGATCTACTTCTCGATAACACTCAACCGATTGCTGAGGTTTGTTTCGTGAGCATATAAACTCAGCTGTCACACAATCTAACCAGAGAAGCGGTTACCATCACCATAAACACTTAGGGTACCCCCATCGCTGCGGCGTACCTTACGCGGGTTGCGCCTTAACCTACAGCGTGTAAGAAGTGCGACCTTTGATAAGGCCCGCGGCACGCCGAGTGAGATGATTGGGCCGCGACTCTCCCGATAAGCTCTATCCAATTTCAACTTTGGCCGCGGCGTTCCCGGTAAAATATACATGGGTCGCGGCGTGCGGGGCTGAAATTTTAAGGGCCGCGGCGCCCCATGTAGCACGCTTTGAGGCCGCGAACTTTCCGATGCAATTGTCTGAGTACCTAGCCTTAATTTGGTCAAGAAGCCCCGCCTTTCAGCAGACAAGCCAGTTGCATCAAAGGGTACCTATGGAAACAATTCTGGAGATCCATGACAGTTTACCTATTAGTTTGACGGACCGATGTTACCACGTTCGCTATTGAAAGAAACATTTTCGGAGATGTTATATTGCAAAGACGCAACTTAACAACTCTAATAATAGAAGTTAAATCTGCTCTGTCGAGCTGGAATCTCTTCGATAAAACCCATTCAAATTCGACATGTGGAAATATTACTCGATTCACCTCATATTCAGCCAGAGATGACACTTCGCTATCCCGTTGAGGATGCGCTTCTACTCGTTCATAGGACGGTTCTAGTGAGTCAGTGCTAGTTTCGAGAAGAGGTATTGTGGATACGATAGGCTCGTGTTCGAGCGAATCCACCGGCGACGCGATTGGTGTGGCACTTCGTAGATCTTCTTCGTCGATTGGTCTTGTCTTCACTTCTGTTTCCTGAAAATGAAACGGAGTGATTTGCCACATGATCACCGCAGCCTTTTGACTACGATAAGGTTTCCAATCTTTTTTGAAACTGCATGTGAGCTTACCGAATGCTCTTCTTCGTCGTCGTCGCGAACGCTCATGTCTTCTACCTCCGATTCTTCCCGGATTTCCGGAAGCATCGCGACTTCTTCTTGAGGTGAAATATTCGCAGTAAGCTCTTGTTCCAGTTTCTCAAATTCAGCCAGTGAGCTGACCGAGCCTTCTCCTGATCCATTGGATCCAGTGCAACGCAATTTACCAGCTGCATAGAGCTCGATCTCACTGGCGCTAAGACTGCCCTCTCCATGGTTTAAAACCATCTGCTCAAGCCGTTCGAACTCTTGAAGGCTGGTAAGAGACACGTTGTCACTTGACACGTGCTTATACTTTCCAACCAGTGCTAAAGTGTCCGACGGTACACCCACAGATGAATTTCCGCTACCGTTGATTGACTCGACATCCTCAGGCTCTTCCTCTACCGTTTCTAGTTCACCTTCCATAGGAGCGTCGTCAATCGGTGAGCAGATCACAAACCCTTCTTCGTTGTCACTCGTTCTTTCTCTAGCTGAACTTTCAGAAGAAGGTGATTCCATTGTCTGGTCTTTTTCTGGTTGTTCGTCAGATTCTTCGCCAACTTTCATAGGTGACACTTCAGATTTTTGAGACGCAGTATCTCTGAAGCAAACAAATTACTTCAAACTCACCATGTAAACTGAACAACTTACTTTTTCTCTTCAGGACTGCTCTTCAAAGACTCTTTCTCTGCCAACCCAGGTGAACCTGCATGCTCATAAGTGGAAATGTCTTCAACATCTGCTACTGACTCCACGTCTCCCTTTCCGTGGTGAATTACCGTATCCGCATAACTGCCAGATGATATATCAGAAAGCTGGCGAGAATAGGACTTCTCATGGCTATCACTCGTGGATTCTACTTCTGCAGATCGTCTTTCCGGCAACCTTTCGGCTCCTGATTTGGAAAAAACTTTATCCTGGGGTCTCTCAACGAAAACGAAGTAATCTTCTTCGTCATCATCATCCGTTTGACGGGTTGGTGGAACTGGAGAGACTGGTCGACCTGGATCTACCCGTGGAGGTAACAGAACGCCACTGGGGCTAGTAGGCAAAGTGGCTTCTGATTCTTCCTCTTCTTCTTCGATAGTCACTTGTAGTGGAACATCAGGCGTTGATCTTGCGGTGTCGTCCATCATAAAGTGCCTTATCACAGGTACCGCCTCCTCGAAATCTTGATTAGCAGTAAAATGGCGGTCCGAATCTACCGGAGACAATATTGCCAGCGGGGTGACACTTCCTTGTCTTTCTTCGGCTTCGCTCAATCTGCTAGTGGCTCCGCTTGCTGCTGTTGTGTACTCAGACTCCTGCGATGCCCACTCCTGAGCCGAGTCGTAAGTATCTTGCGAAGTCACACAGGTATCGTACTGTTCGTCTTTGGAATGTTCCGTAGCCGTTTGATAAACGTTTGACCCGGATGTTGACGTGTGCGTTTTCGCCTCCTCATGTGCTTCCATAGCAGCAGTGATTGCTTCGTCTACAAGACGAAGTGCAGCCTGTTCAATCTCATGGTCTTGATGAGCTTCCTGTTCGTAATCTGTTTCATCAATAACTTCTAAATGATCTTCTTCTTCTTGCACTGAAAACAATTTGTCTCGTCGTTCTTCAGCTAAGATGTCCAGCTTTTCCTGAAGATCTGAATGGTAGTCAATTTCTGGTTCCATCGTCACTTCAGAAGACTCCTGCTTTACAATCTTTCGCGGAGACTGCTCACTTCGCACACTTGCATTTGTCTCTGCTTCTTGTATCAACTCTTCTGTTAGCTGACTGGAGAATTCTTCGACAATTTCACCTTTACTGTCGTAGACCTTCCACTCGTCATCACCAGCAATCGAATGTTGCTCATCGGGATACGATGATGGCGTATGTGCTGATTGCTGTTCGGGTGACTCCAACTCTGCTGTGTCTGAGAATCTCATTTTGAAAACGTTTCCCAAAGCTTCTTCTTGTAGCACATGAAGAGATGGCTGTGTGGGCGAATGGTGGTCGGGATGCTCGGCATCCGTGGCGATGTCACTGGAAAAGTGTCGCTCTTCCTGCACCAAATCATAGTCTGCTGAATCGACGACATGTGTCAGTCTATCGGACCCATCCAGCTTACTTGGTGGTTCTTTCATTTTTGTCTGTTCATCGATTTCACTACCTTGTGGTTTTGTTCTTGTGGGTGATGAGAGTGGCATTTCCTTTTCTAATACAATAACATGCGGTTCAGACTCTCCAGCTTGTGGAGCATAAACTGCGTGATTCCCTGTTAATGTTAGAGAGGAATCTCGAGTGGTAGTGATATCCTCTACGTGACTTTCTGGATGTTGGATTCCAGTGACAGAAAGCAGTCCCACTCTCGTAGGTGAGAGTGACCTTTCTTTCTGCTCAACAAAGTCTTCCGATTCGATGACATGTGAGTCCATTCTTTGTGGAGCGTAAACGCCATGCTCTCCTGTCAAGCCCAGCTGGGAGTCCGTGGTGGTGGCCATATCCTCGATTTGACTCTCTGGAGAGTAGAGATCAGGCAGTCCTACTTTTGTGGGTGAAAGCGACCGCTCTTTTTGCTTAACAAAGTCTTCCGATTCGATGACATGGGAATCATCTTCTCCATCTTGTGGGGCGTAAACACCATGCTCTCCCGTCAAGGTAATTTGAGAATCTCTGGTGGTAGTCAAATCCTCTTTATGTCCCTCAAACTGAGGAACCATAACGGAAGAGGGCTCTTCCATTTTTGTGGGAGAAGAGAGCGATCTTTCCTCGTCCTTGATGAATTCTTCCGATTCGATAACATGTTGTTCAGCTTCCTCACTTTTGCCCTGTGGTAGTTTCTGGTAATCGTCTTCCAAGTTTCGATAGATGTCTGGAGCGGTAAGAACACTTTCACCGGGGGTTCCGGGCTCGCCGGTGAAGGAAGGTGATCGCTCCACCTTTTTTGGTGAGGAGAGCGGCTTCCCATCTTCTTCGATATCGTAGTCTTTTGACTCAATGACATGCGGCTGTGCTCCCTTGCCTTTGTCCTTGCAAATTTCTTGTTCTAAATCTACATCATAGGCTCCTGATACAGATTTGAGGTGACTCTTATCGTCAATATCTGCCACGGCGGCAATCTTACTCGTAGGGAAAGGAAGTGATTTTCCTTCTTGTTCGAAAAGAGGTACTTTTTTCTCTGGTTCCGTCACTGAGAGGTTTTCTCCGCAGGCCTCTTCGCGTGAAACCATACTGACAGAAGATTCCGCAGGTTTAATGGATTCGAGCTTTGTTTTTGGAGACTCGCTCTTGGCTTTTGTAGCGTGCTCCATAGTTGGTGACACGCGATCCTTGATCTCTTCTGTTACAGTTTTCTCCTCGTAAGCTGCAATGGCCAGATCAGATTCGGGCACCGTTGGGAACATGTCGTCAGAAATTTTTTCTACGCCAACAGGTGATGGCTTTTGCGACTCTCTTTCTGCATGTTGCTCATGTTCCCAGGGCAGATCTTCATGCTTTTGTTCATCTTCCTTTGTCAAAGCTTCGTATGCGGCAGAAGCGCCCATTGCCGCCAAAGCTACTGGGGCTACAACAGCTCCTCCTGCAATCTTTGCGGCTTTGGTAGCGAAACCAGCTAATTTATCACCGAACGATGGACTTGTTCGGCCTTCCTCGGGAGATTCCAAGGTGGGTGCGCTGGGTTCAAATGCTGCTCGGCGCTCTGTGTCGGGAGATTGTCCTGCAAATTCTTTCTCCGGAAATACTCCTTCTGCATATCTGAGCCTCTCTTCTGCTTTTGCATCAAGTTCTGTTCTCATCGGCTCTTCTCCAATGCCTAAGTGCGCTGGTTTTGGAGATTCGCGCTCGGCTGGTGAGACTCCTTCTTCAGTTTTCTCGGCCTCTTCTGGATGTCCTGGCTCTTCAGATGTCGCCACAATAGCGGTTGGTTCCATCGCAGCTGGGTGCTTCTCTGCGAAGATCTCCTCGCGTAAAACCGTGCTAATGGGAGATTCGGCTGCTTTTGGAGATTCGCGCTCGGCCTTCGGAGATTCGCGCTCGGCTGGTGAGACCCGTTCTTCAGTTTTCTCGGCCTCTCCTGGATATCCTGGCTCTTCAGATGTCGCCACAATAGCGGTTGGTTCCATCGCAGCTGGGTACTTCTCTGCGAAGATCTCCTCACCTGAAGCCGTGCTGATGGGAGATTCGGCGGCTTTTGGAGATTCGCGCCCGGCCTTCGGAGATTCGCGCTCGGCTGGTGAGACTCGTTCTTCAATCTTCTCGGCCTCTTCTGGATATCCGGGTTCCTCGTAGGTCGTGACTGTAGTGATGGTCTCAGTCACAACGGGGAACTTCTCTCCGAAGATCTCCTCACGTGAAACCGTGCTGATGGGAGATTCGGCTGCCTTTGGAGGTTCGCGCTCGGCCTTCGGAGATTCGCGCTCGGCTGGTGAGACTCGTTTTCCAATCTTATCGGCCTCTTCTGGATATCCGAGTTCCTCATAGGTCGTGACTGTAGTGATGGTCTCAGTCACAACGGGGAACTTCTCTCCGAAGATTTCCTCACGTGAAACCGTGCTGATGGGAGATTCGGCGGCTTTCGGAGATTCGTGCTCCGTAATTGGTGATACATGGTCCTTAATCCCTTCTTCTGGTTTAGGCTTTTCCTCGTAAGCTGATTTCGTAAGATCAGTTTCAGGCACGGCTGGGAACATGTCGGCTGAAATTTCTTCAGTGCCAAGTGGTTTCGGCTTTGGCGACTCTCTTTCTGCTTGTTGTTCATGCTCCTTATACAGGTCTTCATGCTTTTGTTCATCATCCTTTGTCAAAGCTTCGTATGCGGCAGAAGCGCCCATTGCCGCCAAAGCTACTGGGGCTACAACAGCTCCTCCTGCAATCTTTGCGGCTTTGGTAGCGAAACCAGCTAATTTATCACCGAACAATGGACTTGTTCGGCCTTCCTCGAGAGATTCCAAGGTGGGGGCGCTGGGTTCAAATGCTGCTCGGCGCTCTGTGTCGGGAGATTGTCCTGCAAATTCTTTCTCCGGAAATTCTCCTTCTGCATATCTGAGCCTCTCTTCTGCTTTTGCATCAAGTTCTGTTCTCATGGGCTCTTCTCCAATGCCTAAGTGCGCTGGTTTTGGAGATTCGCGCTCGGCTGGTGAGACTCGTTCTTCAGTTTTCTCGGCCTCTTCTGGATGTCCTTGCTCTTCAGATGTCGCCACAATAGCGGTTGGTTCCATCGCAGCTGGGTACTTCTCTGCGAAGATCTCCTCACGTGAAGCCGTGCTGATGGGAGATTCGGCTGCTTTTGGAGATTCGCGCTCGGCTGGTGAGACTCGTTCTTCTTTTTCGGCTTCTCCTGGATGTCCTGGCTCTTCAGATGTCGCCACAATAGCGGTTGGTTCCATCGCAGCTGGGTACTTCTCTGCGAAGATCTCCTCACGTGAAGCCGTGCTGATGGGAGATTCGGCGGCCTTCGGAGATTCGCGCTCGGCTGGTGAGACTCGTTCTTCAATTTTCTCGGCCTCTTCTGGATATCCGGGTTCCTCGTAGGTCGTGACTGTAGTGATGGTCTCAGTCACAACGGGGAACTTCTCTCCGAAGATTTCCTCACGTGAAACCGTGCTGATGGGAGATTCGGCGGCTTTCGGAGATTCGTGCTCCGTAATTGGTGATACATGGTCCTTAATCCCTTCTTCTGGTTTAGGCTTTTCCTCGTAAGCTGATTTCGTAAGATCAGTTTCAGGCACGGCTGGGAACATGTCGGCTGAAATTTCTTCAGTGCCAAGTGGTTTCGGCTTTGGCGACTCTCTTTCTGCTTGTTGTTCATGCTCCTTATACAGGTCTTCATGCTTTTGTTCATCATCCTTTGTCAAAGCTTCGTATGCGGCAGAAGCGCCCATTGCCGCCAAAGCTACTGGGGCTACAACAGCTCCTCCTGCAATCTTTGCGGCTTTGGTAGCGAAACCAGCTAATTTATCACCGAACAATGGACTTGTTCGGCCTTCCTCGAGAGATTCCAAGGTGGGGGCGCTGGGTTCAAATGCTGCTCGGCGCTCTGTGTCGGGAGATTGTCCTGCAAATTCTTTCTCCGGAAATTCTCCTTCTGCATATCTGAGCCTCTCTTCTGCTTTTGCATCAAGTTCTGTTCTCATGGGCTCTTCTCCAATGCCTAAGTGCGCTGGTTTTGGAGATTCGCGCTCGGCTGGTGAGACTCGTTCTTCTTTCTCGGCTTCTCCTGGATGTCCTGGCTCTTCAGATGTCGCCACAATAGCGGTTGGTTCCATCGCAGCTGGGTACTTCTCTGCGAAGATCTCCTCACGTGAACCCGTGCTGATGGGAGATTTGGCTGCTTTTGGAGATTCGCGCTCGGCTGGTGAGACTCGTTCTTCTTTTTCGGCTTCTCCTGGATGTCCTGGCTCTTCAGATGTCGCCACAATAGCGGTTGGTTCCATCGCAGCTGGGTACTTCTCTGCGAAGATCTCCTCACGTGAAGCCGTGCTGATGGGAGATTCGGCGGCCTTCGGAGATTCGCGCTCGGCTGGTGAGACTCGTTCTTCAATTTTCTCGGCCTCTTCTGGATATCCGGGTTCCTCGTAGGTCGTGACTGTAGTGATGGTCTCAGTCACAACGGGGAACTTCTCTCCGAAGATCTCCTCACGTGAAACCGTGCTGATGGGAGATTCGGCTGCTTTTGGAGATTCCCGCTCAGCCTTCGGAGATTCGCGCTCGGCTGGTGAGACTCGTTCTTCAATTTTCTCGGCCTCTCCTGGATGTCCTGGCTCTTCTGATGTCGCCACAATAGCTGTTGGTTCCGTCACGGCTGGGAACTTCTCTCCGAAGATCTCCTCGCGTAAAACCGTGCTGATGGGAGATTCGGCTGCTTTTGGAGATTCGCGCTCGGCTGGTGAGACTCGTTCTTCTTTCTCGGCTTCTCCTGGATGTCCTGGCTCTTCAGATGTCGCCACAATAGCGGTTGGTTCCATCGCAGCTGGGTACTTCTCTGCGAAGATCTCCTCACGTGAAACCGTGCTGATGGGAGATTCGGCGGCTTTTGGAGATTTGCGCTCGGCCTTCGGAGATTCGCGCTCGGCTGGTGAGACTCGTTCTTCAATTTTCTCGCCCTCTTCTGGATATCCGGGTTCCTCGTAGGTCGTGACTGTAGTGATCGTCTCAGTCACAACGGGGAACTTCTCTCCGAAGATTTCCTCACGTGAAACCGTGCTGATGGGAGATTCGGCTGCTTTTGGAGATTCGCGCTCGGCTGGTGAGACTCGTTCTTCTTTCTCGGCTTCTCCTGGATGTCCTGGCTCTTCAGATGTCGCCACAATAGCGGTTGGTTCCATCGCAGCTGGGTACTTCTCTGCGAAGATCTCCTCACGTGAAACCGTGCTGATGGGAGATTCGGCGGCTTTTGGAGATTTGCGCTCGGCCTTCGGAGATTCGCGCTCGGCTGGTGAGACTCGTTCTTCAATTTTCTCGCCCTCTTCTGGATATCCGGGTTCCTCGTAGGTCGTGACTGTAGTGATGGTCTCAGTCACAACGGGGAACTTCTCTCCGAAGATCTCCTCGCGTGAAACCGTGCTGATGGGAGATTCGGCTGCTTTTGGAGATTCCCGCTCAGCCTTCGGAGATTCGCGCTCGGCTGGTGAGACTCGTTCTTCAATTTTCTCGGCCTCTCCTGGATGTCCTGGCTCTTCCGATGTCGCCACAATAACTGTTGGTTCCGTCACGGCTGGGAACTTCTCTCCGAAGATCTCCTCACGTGAAACCGTGCTGATGGGAGATTCGGCTGCTTTTGGAGATTCGCGCTCGGCTGGTGAGACTCGTTCTTCAATTTTCTCGGCCTCTCCTGGATGTCCTGGCTTTGGTTCCGTCACGGCTGGGAACTTCTCTCCGAAGGTCTCCTCGCGTGAAACCGTGCTGATGGGAGATTCTGCGGCTTTCGGAGATTCGTGCTCGGCCTTCGGAGATTCGCGCTCGGCTGGTGAGACTCGTTCTTCAATTTTCTCGCCCTCTTCTGGATATCCGGGTTCCTCGTAGGTCGTGACTGTAGTGATGGTCTCAGTCACAACGGGGAACTTCTCTCCGAAGATCTCCTCACGTGAAGCCGTGCTGATAGGAGATTCGGCGGCTTTTGGAGATTCGTGCTCGGCCTTCGGAGATTCGCGCTCGGCTGGTGAGACTCGTTCTTCAATTTTCTCGCCCTCTTCTGGATATCCGGGTTCCTCGTAGGTCGTGACTGTAGTGATGGTCTCAGTCACAACGGGGAACTTCTCTCCGAAGATCTCCTCACGTGAAACCGTGCTGATGGGAGATTCGGCTGTTTTTGGAAATTCGTGCTCCGTAATTGGTGACACATGGTCCTTAATCCCTTCTTCTGGTTTAGGCTTTTCCTCGTAAGCCGGTTTCGTAAGATCAGTTTCAGGCACGGCTGGGAACATGTCAGATGAAATTTCTTCAGTGCTTTTGGGCTTTGGCGGCTCTCTTTTTGCTTGTTGTTCATGCTCCTTGTACAGATCTTCATGCTTTTGTTCATCATCCTTTGTCAAAGCTTCGTATGCGGCAGAAGCGCCCATTGCCGCCAAAGCTACTGGGGCTACAACAGCTCCTCCTGCAATCTTTGCGGCTTTTGTAGCGAAACCAGCTAATTTATCACCGAACGATGGACTTGTTCGGCCTTCCTCGAGAGATTCCAAGGTGGGGGCGCTGGGTTCAAATGCTGCTCGGCGCTCTGTGTCGGGAGATTGTCCTGCAAATTCTTTCTCCGGAAATTCTCCTTCTGCATATCTGAGCCTCTCTTCTGCTTTTGCATCAAGTTCTGTTCTCATGGGCTCTTCTCCAATGCCTAAGTGCGCTGGTTTTGGAGATTCGCGCTCGGCTGGTGAGACTCGTTCTTCAGTTTTCTCGGCCTCTTCTGGATGTCCTGGCTCTTCCGATGTCGCCACAATAGCGGGTTCCGTCACGGCTGGGAACTTCTCTCCGAAGATCTCCTCGCGTAAAACCGTGCTGATGGGAGATTCGGCTACATTTGGAGATTCGCGCTCAGCTGGTGAGACTCGTTCTTCAATTTTCTCGGCCTCTACTGGATATCCGGGTTCCTCGTAGGTCGTGACTGTAGTGATGGTCTCAGTCACAACGGGGAACTTTTCTCCGAAGATCTCCTCACGTGAAACCGTGCTGATGGGAGATTCGGCTGCTTTTGGAGATTCCCGCTCAGCCTTCGGAGATTCGCGCTCGGCTGGTGAGACTCGTTCTTCAATTTTCTCGGCCTCTCCTGGATGTCCTGGCTCTTCCGATGTCGCCACAATAGCTGTTGGTTCCGTCACGGCTGGGAACTTCTCTCCGAAGATCTCCTCGCGTAAAACCGTGCTGATGGGAGATTCGGCTGCTTTTGGAGATTCGCGCTCGGCTGGTGAGACTCGTTCTTCTTTCTCGGCTTCTCCTGGATGTCCTGGCTCTTCAGATGTCGCCACAATAGCGGTTGGTTCCATCGCAGCTGGGTACTTCTCTGCGAAGATCTCCTCACGTGAAGCCGTGCTGATGGGAGATTCGGCGGCCTTCGGAGATTCGCGCTCGGCTGGTGAGACTCGTTCTTCAATTTTCTCGGCCTCTTCTGGATATCCGGGTTCCTCGTAGGTCTTGACTGTAGTGATGGTCTCAGTCACAACGGGGAACTTCTCTCCGAACATCTCCTCACGTGAAACCCTGCGGATGGGAGATTCGGCTGCTTTTGGAGATTCGCGCCCGGCCTTCGGAGATTCGCGCTCGGCTGGTGAGACTCGTTCTTCAGTTTTCTCGGCCTCTCCTGGATGTCCTGGCTCTTCGGATGTTGCCACAATAGCGGTTGGTTCCATCGCAGCTGGGTACTTCTCTGCGAAGATCTCCTCACGTGAAACCGTGCTGATGGGAGATTCGGCGGCTTTTGGAGATTTGCGCTCGGCCTTCGGAGATTCGCGCTCGGCTGGTGAGACTCGTTCTTCAATTTTCTCGCCCTCTTCTGGATATCCGGGTTCCTCGTAGGTCGTGACTGTAGTGATCGTCTCAGTCACAACGGGGAACTTCTCTCCGAAGATTTCCTCACGTGAAACCGTGCTGATGGGAGATTCGGCGGCTTTTGGAGATTTGCGCTCGGCCTTCGGAGATTCGCGCTCGGCTGGTGAGACTCGTTCTTCAATTTTCTCGCCCTCTTCTGGATATCCGGGTTCCTCGTAGGTCGTGACTGTAGTGATGGTCTCAGTCACAACGGGGAACTTCTCTCCGAAGATCTCCTCGCGTGAAACCGTGCTGATGGGAGATTCGGCGGCTTTTGGAGATTCGCGCCCGGCTGGTGAGACTCGTTCTTCAGTTTTCTCGGCCTCTCCTGGATGTCCCGGCTCTTCGGATGGCGCCACAATAGCGGTTGGTTCCATCGCAGCTGGGAACTTCTCTCCGAAGATCTCCTCACGTGAAGCCGTGCTGATAGGAGATGCGGCGGCTTTTGGAGATTCGTGCTCGGCCTTCGGAGATTCGCGCTCGGCTGGTGAGACTTGTTCTTCAATTTTCTTGCCCTCTTCTGGATATCCGGGTTCTTCGTAGGTCGTGACTGTAGTGATGGTCTCAGTCACAACGGGGAACTTCTCTCCGAAGATCTCCTCACGTGAAGCCGTGCTGATAGGAGATTCGGCGGCTTTTGGAGATTCGTGCTCGGCCTTCGGAGATTCGCGCTCGGCTGGTGAGACTCGTTCTTCAATTTTCTCGCCCTCTTCTGGATATCCGGGTTCCTCGTAGGTCGTGACTGTAGTGATGGTCTCAGTCACAACGGGGAACTTCTCTCCGAAGGTCTCCTCACGTGAAACCGTGCTGATGGGAGATTCGGCTGTTTTTGGAGATTCGTGCTCCGTAATTGGTGACACATGGTCCTTAATCCCTTCTTCTGGTTTAGGCTTTTCCTCGTAAGCCGGTTTCGTAAGATCAGTTTCAGGCACGGTTGGGAACATGTCAGCTGAAATTTCTTCAGTGCTTTTGGGCTTTGGCGACTCTCTTTTTGCTTGTTGTTCATGCTCCTTGTACAGATCTTCATGCTTTTGTTCATCATCCTTTGTCAAAGCTTCGTATGCGGCAGAAGCGCCCATTGCCGCCAAAGCTACTGGGGCTACAACAGCTCCTCCTGCAA